TACACCCAGGTATTTGTATGAAACTCCCTGCTTGATCTCATCTGTATGGATGACAATGGGGACTTTATGGGAGTCAGATGATGGTGAGCCAAAAATGATTTCCTCAGTTTTCTTGGTGTTGATCTCAAGAGCATTGTTATCAGTCCACTCGACCACCTGATGTATGCTTACAATTGTATCTGTTGCTGTTATGACAACTTTGCGTTTTGAAAAGAGGGTGTTGAGATCTCCATATCAAGTGAATAATTAAAACGAAAGTTAGTTATAATCAAATATAATTAATTATATTCTTGTATAACTAACCCACAATGAAAATGCTTCATATTTGAGGTTTTTCTATATTTACAGTATAAACAAAACACAAGTGGTTTGTTAAATTGAGCGTGAGGCCTATAATGGTTATGGGTGTCACTGATAAGGGAGATGGCAGTTTTCTTCCCTCTCTTCCTACAGCGGTGCACATGCAGGGGGGCTCCTGACTAAAGGAGAAACACATTGAGGCCCCAAAAAGGCGGTTATGTCATAGCCGAGAATAATATTTTGCAAGTCCAGAGCAGGGGTCATGTCCTTTTTACACAAACATGGAAAGGTGTGTCTTATGACATAGCCATAGAATATGTCTGGTCATGTCCAGTACATCAGAGGCCATGCCCAGTTTCCACAAATATGGGTATGGAGGAGGTGTCTTTAGGTTTTTATATCCTGTTGTTGGGCATAAAGACACTGGTGGAGAGGGAGCAAGCTGAGAGAGGGGGGGGGGTTCCCCTGGTATACTCTCTCCCGGTAAAAGCTCTGTCCCTCAGAGCTGGGTTTTTGCTCTCTGTAAGGTTCTCTCAAACTTGGTAAATATCTCTCGATTTTCTTTGTTGAAAGATGAGTGAATTTCTTTGTGAATTGTGGAATGAATTGATGTTTGTTGAATGTTAGTACCCTGCCACCTGTGAGGACAGGTCCTCCGAATTCATGCAGGACTAGTTGAAGTATACGAATGTCAAAATGAGAAAATGAACTGTTTTGGTGAATGAAAAGTTGAATGTGCTTTTTATTATCACCGGTCATTTATGAGGAAATGCCTCTAAATTCTATCGGGAGATTTTAAATGTCACAACTGAATTGGGCAGTTGAAGTTACAAATGATGGTAATAAATGTAAAACTGTGAATTACATTTTCATATTAGAACATGATCACAGCATGATAGGTTTAGTATGGTTATGGTTATAATGTTGTAGAGAGAGAAGGTAAAAACCCTGTATTAGTTTGAACCTATTTTTCTTCAAATAAACTGATCCCACCTGTTGGATTGGGAGAACTTAAAAGACATCTGTGCTCTCCTCTCCTGCTTCAAAGGTACGACTGCACCCTGCCACACTCACACTTAGGTAGGGCCACACCTCATTTACTGATATCAAAATCCTTCGGGATCGCTTAAACAGATTTAAGAGAGTTGTCTGAATTGAAACAGCAGTTAATTGAACCTGGTTCTTCGGGGAGTTAATAGAGGTGAGATCTTGCTGACGTTGGTGGATCTGAGCCAAGCAGTAAACTTACATAGACTCAATAACTTCGGTTAGGTCAATTAGTAGGTCAGAGTAATTTCCCGGAATAAATTATCAGCCCTCCCGACTCTTACAGTATTAATGGATTACATTGAACAGGATTAGGAAAACAGACTCTATTCCCCTACTGCTCTCTCCTCTGTAAACTGTACTGTTCTAATACTTTAAGTGTGAATCTACACACCTACTGCCTGAATCTGCTTCATGGTTTTCACTTTCTTTGGTTCATTTGTTGTTTTCATTTCAGCAGGTGAACCTGTATGTTCATAACATAGTGTGTGTGAGCTTAACTGTGTGTTTCATTGTTGTGTACTGAATATGCTGAATGAAAGGCAGGTTTTCCCATAAATCCCTGAAAATGTGATCCTAAATATTTCGGTTCCTTCTTTTCTAAGGTCACATTCTTCTGTTGTCTTGCATAATACACTTCAGTAAAAAACATCTCATTGATATTTATTTTCTCTTCTTTTCATTTGAACTGCTTTTGATATTGAGGTTTTCCAAAAGTAACAGAAAGTAATCAGGTTACATTACTTTTATATTTTGATACTCAGATCAAGTTACTCATTACATTTCTTATTCACGTAACTGACCCTCCAACCCTCTCTACAGCAACCACTGTGTTTAACTGTCAGTCTGCTGGTGGTGGGTTTCTCTTTCAGGTGTGACAGTGGGCAGAGTGCTGGATCTGCAGAAGAGAATCATCGGAGGTCACACATGCTATCAATCAATCAATGTTTATTTATATAGCCCAATATCACAAATGTTACATTTGTCTCAGTGGACTTCACAGTGTGTACAGAATATCAGTATGACAATATGACACCCTCTGTCCTTAGACCCTCTGTCCTTAGACCCTCACATCGTACAAGGAAACACTTCCGGAGAAAACCCACAGTTTAAAGGGAACATGGGAGAAACCTCAGGGAGAGCAACAGAGGAGGGATCCCTCTCCCAGGACGGACAGACGTGCAATAGATGCCGTGTGTAAATTGAAAAGATAATACATTTGCAACATAGGTAGACCAAATGTTTGGAAATGCATGTGTGTATAATAGGAAGATGAATCCACGAGGATATCCATCCAGGACCTATGATCCAGGACCACAGCCACGACTCAAGATCCAGGGCTCGCGATCCAGGACACAGGACCGCAGGATCATCCATGACTCCGGATCTCGGCGTATATAGACACCAAAAAGAAATTCATTTGGGGAAGCTGGGTTAATCGGAACATGAGAGTACACAGGTATAGACAGAGAGAAGGAAGAAGTAAGATGTAAGTAATTCTTCCCAAAGGTCAAGGAATACCATGATCATAACACCAGAGGGAGCTCCACAAATCATGTGAAACCCAGATTTGGCACAAAAAAGGGGGAATACACGTTTCGCAATTATGCCACATCAAGGTGGAACGCTCTTCCCACAACTGTAAAGGAAAGTAAAACTATACTTACCTTCCAAACCTCTCTTAAAGAGCACCTTCGGGGGAGAGCATTGCAAAACTGGCCCCGGTAATGGTACAAATCTCAACCTGTCGTTCAATGGACAGCTTCCCCCCCCCCATCTATGTATATACTCGCATTTTAGACTCTGTTACTAACAGTATATCTGTAGACTTGGTATGTCTTAAATGTCCGGTTAGGATGTCAGTGTTTCCCACAGATCTGAAATATACTTGGGCGGGTGGTGGCAGCGGGGGGGGGGGGGTGCGCAAAAAAAGTTTTCATTTTGTATAATCATTTTGCGTAAAGATGGCACTCAAGGGCACACTAGTGGTGGTGTTCCTGGCGGGATTTGAACTCACAGCCTTCCGATCTTAAGCACACCTCACTATCCATTAGATCAATCACTACCCTCTCAAATGGAAATATGTGTTTACATAAATGGTGACCACACCGTTTGAGACCCACTGAGAACTTAGACTAAGTTAACTATCTAAACACTCAGAGAGTCCTTAACCTCACCTGAGCTGAGGTTATCCCGAGCTTGAATGACACACAGAGACCAATCAAGGGCTTTGATTTATGATCTCTATGACAGTGGCCATGTTGGCAGGCCACATCATGTAGACCAGAGGTGCCCAGTACGTCAGACCGCGGGGGCAATGCTGGTAGATCGCGAGTCATTCATAAAAAAAAAAATCCTGTTCCGTTAAAATAGACAAAACAGGTTTTGATCCCTCCTCCCTTGGCCTCCCTGCCACTTAATTCAGGAGTTTACTTGATTGACAGAAAAAGCGACCTATCGCTTTCCAGTCTGTTAACCCAGAATGCAAAGCGACACAAAATCAGTCAAGTGCCGGGAAAACTCAAATTAAGTTAAAGAGACAAACAAGAGACAAACAACCAAATGAGTGCGGGACCGAGCAAGAAGCTAAAGACAAACCACTTCCACCCAGAATGGGAGGAAGAATATTTGTTTGTGATGTCACATTCAAAGGTTATTTGCCTTATTTGTAAAGCAAGCGTCGCTCTGCCAAAGAAAGGTAACGTGGAGAGGCATTATCGGAGTGTTCACAAGGCATATGACAGCGACTTCCCTCCGAGTAGCGAGTTGAGAAAGAGAAAGGTCATGTATTATTGCTACACAAACATTATCTCGCAGTCTTAGTGTCGCCAACTCGTTTCTAACATGCAAAAAGACAAACAAATGTCGGTGTATTTTCGATCTTTCCAATCGAGACGAGATCTCTCTCCCCCGTCTGTGCGCGAGGGGGTTGGGCAGTTTACACACACGCGGCTGCTACATATGGAGGACGGAACATGACTTAAGTATAAATAAATAAATGTATGAAGAAATACAGGAATAAATACGTAAATAAATAAATAAATACAGGAATAAATAAATACAGGAATAAATAAATGACGAAATAAATACAGAAATAAATAAATGTTGAAATTAATACACAAATAAATAAATAAAAGAATAAATGCATAAATAAATATGGAAATAAATACATCAATGTATAAATAAATAAATAAAAGTCGAAAATAAAACAGAACACACGTTATTATATATCTTTCATTTATTTCTACATTTACGCGACATACATTTATTTATTTATGTATTTATGTCTCCGTATGCTAATGAGGTGGGCGGTCCTAACCTCAGTCTGAAGCAGGATTCGCCAATTGTTGGAGCCAGGCAGAAGCAATAGATTCGTGGCAAGTCACATCTGTACATTCTGTGTACATTGTCGGCAACTCGCTAATAATGGCTTCGGCTGGAAGGGCGCTGGCAGACCTTCTGCGGGATGCGGCTAACCAGCTTGAAAACTGTAAGTGACTCATGTTTTGGTCTAGTGTAAGACTGATATGACAATGTAAAAAAACTGATCTGTGTGTTAAAATGCCAATGTACAGTTTTGTACCCAATGTGGCGCTATGTTATGTTTTGTGCAGCACCAAGGACCGCTAACGCGCCAGTTTCGTGTCCTCCTCCTCATCCGTTACATAACGGGACTCCCAGACACCCAGTGGACGGTAGGTCTTTGCATCAAATTATTTGTAATGCAAATCCGATCAGTTTACTAAGTTTATATCGCCAATGACAAGTTATTTGATTCAGTTTCTGTCCACCAGCTTGAAGGGATCATTATATTTATAGTGTGTGATGCTAACGCTAACCAACATTTCCCCCCTGGATTCTCGTTGAATCATTATTTCCTTGCACTCAATATTGCTTATCTTCTTAACTTGATCCTAGCCGAAGTTTCAAGACTGTTTGGCCCCTACATGGGAGGGAGGAGGACGGCAGGGCGGCAAACCCTTTCTGGTCCTGCACACCTGCATTCTTATACCCATTTATTCTGTTGCCTTGAGGACAAGAATGCAGCCTTAGTCCCCAACCGATACGCCAAAGAAAGACTCGCTGCTGCTGGCTTTGGTGAAAAACGGCTCACATTTAAAGGTCTGTCAGTCATTAGAATGACGATTATCAATCGCTCTTTCCTTTTCTGTCTATTTTTTATGGTAAATGTACATTTGTGATATATAAATATATTGAGTTACCCTTACAATCATAACATTATCTTTATGTTAGATCTCTTATGTGTATCATCTATTTCTAGGCAGCCATACAGATTCAAATGAATTCCTCGAATTCTTGATGGATGCCTATCCAAAACTGCGGAACGGTGGCGGTTTCGAGTTGCTAAAAATATCTGGCACTACGAGAAGTCGCCACTTGATTGTGATCCCCTGTCCCAATGAGGGTTACTATGTCAGATATTTGAAGGACCCTCAGACCCAGATTGGCCATTCTACGGTTTTCATTAGACCAATGCAAAGAACCCTGAATTTGGACCCTGTAAGTTCCTCACTTCTATAGTGGTGTCACAATATTAAAGTGGAATCTGTGACTTACAGTAACATAATTGTTCGCTTGTGATGTAGTTTAAAACTATTTTGTTTACAGGCATGTCGATCAGAAGGCGACAACGTGTTAATTGGACCAAATCAGAAATGTGTCATCTGTGGAGAGGAGTTCCCCTTTTCCAGAATCAAGGATCACAGCAATAACTGCACGAGGTATTACTCTCTACAGAACTAAACATCACATTCGCCAGGCACACTGCAACTGCATGTGTAGACACACAATAACCAATAAGCATAAGGCTGTGGGATGCTGCAAATGGATGTAAAATATTTTGACATATCAGCACATCTGAGGTTTTATAATTATGGGGCCAGATATTAGTACTTTTTGTTCCAACAATCCCTCTGTAACACCATATTCTGCTGTCCTCTATAATACATTTAAATATGAAAGATATACATTCTGGATGTTGGTTTTGAGGAAAAGTAACATTTGGTTTACTTTTCATTCTATGTATATGCCCATCTTTTTCTAGAGTGTGATATGTAATGTAAAGTATACTAGACCAAATAACAGAAATAACCTCTTTTTACACTAGACCATCACAGAGCAGCGGTGAGGTACAGATTGAGTTGACAACTGAAAGGGCCTCCGGAAGTCAAGTTAGATTTGAAAGCACGTTCACAGGAGCACAGGGAAATGAGACAACAAGGGCCAGGAACACAAGACACTCGGTGCCACCTCAGGAAATGTTGCCTTCTCCTGAGGTAGTTGACATCGATCCCACTGAGGAAAGTGGCTTCTCTGGTGTGTAACATCCTTTATTAAGTACATCATGTATTGCAATAAGTTGTTGCTCTCTACATTTCACTTGATCCAATATTAATTTGGAAACCTTTTAAACTATTTTTAGATTGGAGAATAGCGCCAGATCCCACAGAGGCAGCAAAGATGTTTAAAGAAGACATTTTAAGCCAGCATGCAACTGGAAAATCCTTGTGTCTTACTATGGATCTTGGAGACAGTGCAGCGGAAAGGGAAAGAGCAGTCCTTACTTTTTATAAGAAGGCAAATGTTGAGTGGGCTTGCCCCTTGACATGCACACTTAAGGGTAATTCGGTTACAAACAAAATCCAAGATAAAAAAATGAACAAACCATATTTTCGTTAAACTGATGTCTGTAGTGTGTGTTTACATTTTTAAGGAGATCCAGCCATTGGTGATGGTGTGACTCGGCATTTCTTTGCAACCATCATGTCAAAACTTCAGGCTGGTTTTGAGATGAAGTTTGGTAAGTAAATATTTACTATGGCTGATCGCTGGGTCTCAGCCACTAAGTTATGTGTGTTTTTGTACCAGTTCCAGGCTGAACACAGATCTGTCCCTTAACCCCAGAAAACAAAACGTATTCCTAAAACCTGATGTGATTGTAGCTGCTGTGAACATGTAGGTTTCTACAGGATCAACCAGTATCCAGTGGCGGTTTGATCATTCCTTTACTAATGCTTTGTGATAGTTGAATATCTATGTCCTTTACTTTACTATCAATTTACTTTGACTGTTTTCCTATATTTGCAGTGCCTGGAGGAACTCTTCTTTTTGAAGGAGAACAAGATCATCTGATTCCCTCCACTTCTCATCTCCTTTTGGAGAGTGACTTCTTTGTTGTTGCTGGCCGAATGATTGGACATTCATTCCTCCATGATGGGCCATGCCTAGGTGGACTGAGCCCAGCTGTCCTGCATGTGCTCTTTGGTGGATCCCCAGAAGAAGCCACAATAGATATTAAGGACTGTGTTGACCTTGATATCCGTGAGACAATCAAGTTGGTATGTTCAATGTTTTTCTAACCTATTTTATTATTCAACCTTTGGATATTATTTATTTAGCTGATCTACTTTCAGATACTGTTAACATCAAGTGGCTACACTTTGCACCAGCAGGAGTTACTGAAGCATTATAAAACACCATGCACTGATATATTAAATATCATTAGAACACTTACAGATGTCCTCCTATAAGATGTTTTTTGACAAAACATAGCTTTTACAGGTTACCAACTAACATGCTGATTATAAGTTAAACTTCTTATGTTGTATCAAAGTTGAATGTTTATACAAGTATTGAGAAATTAACGATTCTTATCAAATTCATTCTACTTGCCATTATTAGCTGGAGGGAACAGCAGAGTTATCATCAGAAGAAAAAAAGCTCATCAATGAGTTGGCACTGTCCTGGGATTTGCCTCTAGTCACATGTGACAACAGGAGATGGCTATTTGATAAACTGATCCTCCATGCTGTGAGTATTCTTAACAGGTCATATGAATCAGACTGACTAATCAGAGTTGAAGTTTTGAAGTAGGACCTCATTTTGGCATATCACATTTGAGCTTTTTTGTTAAATACATATTTGGATGTTAATAGTGTATTAAAACATGCTTATTGGGCTATTAGATCAATCAGGCTGCTTTGCTTTTCTACTGTGATGCAAATATTGTGCAGGTCCTTGGAAGAACCTCCAGACAAGTCAAGCAGTTACGAAGGGGTTTAAAAGAGACACTGATCTGGCCTCTGCTGACGGAGAGGAAAGACACGATTCCCCTTCTCTTTCCAAGAGCATCTGATTTGCAGTGCACACCACGGGTAAGTGATCTCATGCTGCTCAGTCAAATCCTTCCTCCTAACTCACAGGAGTTAGAAATTGGGTTTATTTACTACTCTCAGACCTACATTGCTTTAAGTTTATTAAAACAAACATTCACCTACGCAAACATATTTTGAAATGAAATGATGCTACTTGCTGCTTAAAAGGAGCTAAACCAATAGAACAACTGTATCTTTAGACTACTCTGCTGCTACACAGCAAAACCTGCAGTTTCTTGTATGTTCTGTTTATTATTGTGCTTTCACTGGGCTCCTTTCAAAACGAAATCTGTCAGATGGTGTTGGAGAAGATAAACTGGCCCACACAGGATGAGGATGAAGACAGTGAAGTCTCTTTGGAGGATTCCTGTAGGCTCACAGGATTCCTGCGCACATTTATTGAGATGGGTAAAACAACGTCTTCAAGCTTTGTTTACTGAAAGTTTGTAATTATTATAACGAAAGCTGCGCTTCCTCTGTTTTTATCTTTAAAGCTACAGTAACAATCCAAGGCGTAATTTAAGTAACATTATTGTTATTTAACTATTAACTGAAAGCAATTATAATAAAATGAATTTATTCTCTGTTTTATAAAGCATCTCCCGTTATCCTTGGGAAACTTGTGCAGTTCTGGATAGGATGGAATGTGCTTCCTAGACATGGCCTGGATGTGACCGTGGTGGAGAGCAACTTCCCCAGCTCTTCCACATGCTTTCACCAGCTGAAACTTCCAGGACATTACAAAGAGTACTGTATGTTTGAAAGGGACATTCTTGCTGCTATTTGGAGCACTGAAACTGGGTTCGGGATGGTCTGAAGAGACGGACACACCTTAGTACTAGATTTGTTGTCTTTTGTTTGGCCGGCCAAAAATGTATGTTTTCAGAGAGGAAAAAAAAACTCAGTTAATGCCTATACTCCGGCCAGTTTGTGTAACACTGAAAATATATAAAGATAAACATGCTTTCCTTGTTATTGCACATAACAAAGAAAGCATGTTTATCTTTATATATTTTCAAAGTTTTAAATTGATATTCGTTACAAAATGTTCATTAACTGTAACAAATGTATATTTCTTGATGCATTACAGTAAGTGTTGATTCACAACAAGCATATGTTCAGTGCAACACATGTTTCAAATGACTACTGAACGTAACTTCATTACCATCTAATTTTTATTGTATTAAAATCGAAATATACTGAATCTTGGTACCAGCGTCTTCATGTAACTCAGTCAAATATTGTCACCTAATCGTCCTAGTCGAAACTTTAAAAGACTACATTTCCCACAGCAACAGACTTTTGATACACACACACATTTACTGTAGCATTTCAGTCAATAAGCCCACAGTTTGTACATAGACATTCCACACATTGGACAGAGGGCCATCAGGGTCTGGAAGTCTTTCCACTTCCTGGTCAGTCAGTGAACGTTGCAGCTGAACTTCAGGAACCATAACATGAGGCAGGCGATGAGCACATGGTCCAGTCCAGTCAACTCCAAACTCAATGTCAACCTGCAATTGCAAGAGCTAAAGTTAGAGTCAACCAAAATCAAAGTTTTAATATATTTGTCAGTTAATTCATTTTATATAACCGTTTTGTATCATCTCCTGGAATTCCTGATTAATGTCTCATGAACAGCTGACATCAATCAAATCATTAGAGAGCAGAAAGCCCTGATGTATCATTATCTTCCTTAACCGCTTGTTCTGGTTGATCACAGCATTTTAGGAATACCTCATAGAAGTGTTTAAAGTGCCGATGATATGCAGAATAAAATAATTCCATCACATTCAGTTTCCTCGACAACAGGCCACTATTTGTTACATTGTGAAACTATACTCACTTGTATTATTTGTTTTAAACAGTTTGTGTAATGACAGAAAAAGTGGGTATTAGTGTTAACATGGTCCCATGTAGGAAAGTAAAGTCAAAGTCAAAATAAAACTATTGAATACAATCAAACCTGTATATGTTCCTGCTGGGCCTCACGCTCATGGCGAGTCCACAGTTGCAGTGGGGACCGGTTTCCCTCAGTGCTTAGTCGGTGGCAGTTCCAGCCTTGCTGGAAAAACTGCAGGTGCTTCTGTATGTGGGGCACAAAGCACCAGTGCAGAGCATAGAGATGCACTTCACAGTCAGGATTGAGAAGGCCTTCTCTCTCTAGGTTGAAAAACATTGTGTAGAAGAGATCCAGCACTCCTACATAAACGTCTCTCCAGAGCCTTTCTATCCTTTTGAGGAAAAAGGAAGGAAAATATTTAGTCTGCTCAGTGAACAAAAAAAAAAAACTTACAAATATCACCTTTCACCTACCATAAATGGTAAGTAAATTTAGAATTGAATTACATTAATTAGAAGCTAAGTATTAACATTTTTGCCGATTTCAATAGGAAAATGTTCCTGATTAAGTGGCAAGTGCACAATAATGCCTCTGGAAAAAAGCTGGAAATTGGATTTAGCAAAAATAATTTTGCTTGAGCAAAGTTCATCAAACTTGGGTGAGGTTTTTATACTGTAAGCTTTGTTGAAACTGGATCAGGAAATATATCAGCTGAACATACTATGGATGTATAAAAAAAGACGGACTAATGCCATATTTATGCCACATTAACTGTTGTTGTTCAATATTAATGTAAGGTTCTCTTGACTGGAAAATACATTCAAAATCCAAGTTCCAACAGTAATTTGCCCGGTCATGCAACGTGCTGGGACTTCCACTAAATAGATGTTTGAAAAATATTGTTATCCTTCTTGTCAAATTATACAGTTGGTGTCATAATTATAGTGTTTGTATTATAGAAATATAACTTTTTTAGTTCTATGGTTTTATCTCACAGAGGAAGACGAACAAAAATACAATTAATAATAGCTAAAGACATATAGTTGACATTGCAATCTTTACCAAGGACTTAATTTGATAAAAGTTTGACTTGAAGTTTAAGGTACCTTTGATTATGGACACTCCTGCCAGCAATGTGTGAATTCCTGTTCTCTCCTCGGTTTGCCACCATGTAGCGTGCAACGTCAACATTTTCTCCACCTTTATCTGACCTCACACGTGATGGCACACCGTAGACATTGGCGGCTTCCAAAAAGCTTCTTAAAACTGTTGCTGCCCGATTGTTGGTGGCAGCACTCAAGTACACGATGAGACGACTAAAGCCGTCAATACCACCATGCACAACAAAACGCCACCTAAAGGGATATGTATAGGCACACATTAAGGTCAATCCACTAATGTATGTACAGACATTTACACATTTTAAAAGGTGCCTTATCCTACTAAAAGTTATAATTACAAAACATAAATCATCTTAATTTTGATAGTAAAAGTAATTTGCATGCAGAGGAATTTGGTGCAATTAATCATTTGATACATTTCATTTATATTTCTTCTTGCAGTGTTTTAACTTGTTTTTATGTCTACAGAATATTGTATGTTGCATTGTTAGAGGAGACTGAGACTTCAGATTTTCATAACCAACCAATAAAAAAAGCTATCATGCATATGACAATATAGCCTTTGAATCTTGAAGTCTGGTTTGCATTGAAGCTGATTGATTATAAGAACACTTTAGATGGTCCCATCTTTTGTAACTGTAGTGAAGTGGATGTTTGAGCAATGCTTGAGTGTTAATGATTATACTATACCTAATCAGTTTGTGATTTCCGTCGATGTGCCATAAACTGTTCGGTGCTGGTACAAAGTACTTCCTACGCCTTCTTGGGTTCAGCTGCAGAGTGCGAATCAAGACTCCACCTGGATCAACACGCCGCATGGATTCCTGGACACGCTGTCCTGTTATATTCGGGGAAATGCAGAGATATGGTGTACTGCAAGTAACATAATGAAAAGTAAAGCATTCCTAAATATGCCAGAATAATGTGATTCATTATCAAGTAGTAAAAAAAAAACACTGCATGGAGGATTATTATAATAATAACAATCCCTTACTTTGTATGCGTATCCCTCGTGCATTCAGGTACCCCACCATCATTTTGTATCCAGAGTTGGGATGATGCTGTAGAATTTGGGTAACAGTTTCATCCAAACTGTTGTCATCTAACAGAGTTAATAGATCTTGGACCCTGATCATCAAAAATAACGAAACAATAGTAAGTCACAATAAACAATAGTCACCTTTTGCACTGTACAATCAAAACACATCAGAATGAGTGTGTTGCTCTGTACTAACCTGCATTGAAAGATGTAGGTGTCATCTGAAACAAATGAGCTGGTCTCTTAAACCTCATTACTATTATTAGGCCTACATCATGTCTGAGGTAATGGTACCTTTGCTTTGTGTACAAAGCATGTTTGTATCTTTGCCCCGACACATGTCTATCTGATGTATTGGTTTCAACATATAAATGGCCTATTACCATTTTAATAAATATGTAAACAAGTAGGCTAATTTGGATGGAGAAAATGTAGGCTAATGAAACGTTATCATTACAAAACACAAGTTAATGCGTCTAACAAATGTGTACACTGATATAGCCTACGCCAAAACAATAAAAGTAAGGAAATCCAGACAAAAAACGTGAAAGAATGCGGATTAAACCTACCGTATCCCGTTCTGTGTCATCCTCCGACGAATTGTTCTTTCGCACACCCCGAACACCTGCGCGATGTCCCCAGCGGTGTGGCCCCAACGAAGATGTGCTTCAATAACGTTTAGGGGCAACATGTAAGATGGACGCCCAAGGGTCGCCTCCTCTGTTTCCGAGAGGATTTCAAGTTGGCGGGCAACCTCTTGAAGACTCTCAAACACAGCTGGGTTAACATCCACATCCATGTCGAGCTGAGCCAAGTCCTCTATACATCGTTCCACACGAAACTGGACATAGTCTTTTGGTTCTCCATTCTCTAAATGGTCCGCTAATGATCGTAAATGATCTCCAATGGCTCTTAAATCAATATCCATAAATAAACCTTACAACTGTGGATAAACCATGGATGTATAAAGATAAGGGCTAAACAGTAAAGCTCCTGCATTCGAATCAGCGCGGTTATCCAGGCGTTAGTAGTAGAGCCCTCTGCCAGAAATGATCACACACTCCTGTAACCAATCCTGCTTCAGACTGAGGTTAGGACCGCCCACCTCATTAGCATACGGACACATAAATACATAAATAAATAAATGTATGTCGCGTAAATGTAGAAATAAATGAAAGATATATAATAACGTGTGTTCTGTTTTATTTTCGACTTTTATTTATTTATTTATACATTGATGTATTTATTTCCATATTTATTTATGCATTTATTTATGCATTTATTCTTTTATTTATTTATTTGTGTATTCATTTCAACATTTATTTATTTCTGTATTTATTTCGTCAATTATTTATTCCTGTATTTATTTATTCCTGTATTTATTTATTTATTTACGTATTTATTTATTTATTCCTGTATTTCTTCATACATTTATTTATTTATACTTAAGTCATGTTCCGTCCTCCATAGCTACATGCAGCAACACACGGAGGAGATGGCGGAGAGAAGCCTCCAAGGTGTGGTTAAATGTTACCCGCCTCGAGGTGGACAATGCTCCTTGCCAAGAGAGTTCAGCATGTGAGGGCGGTAACACGAGCAATGTGTCAAACATTTAGCAAAAGCGCTCCACATCCAGACGGATGAATGCACCGGGTTCAACTGTCTTTCTAGCAGCTCTGTAGCCCCCCCATCCACGAGTAACGTTTCCACGTCAGGTGTTATGCTAGCAGCAACACACGCAGTTAACTCAATGATTCAAACATGGGTTAATGATTAGAGGAAACTGAGTTACTCTTTATTTTGTTAAAGTTTCAGCTATTCTGTTCACAGTTCTGTCATCAGATTATTTAATACGATTTGTTAAAACATTGTTGTTTCTTTTGATGTGAAATATTATTGATTTAATTTAAATAAAAA